GAACTTAAATGTAAAGGATACAACTATGAAACTTCTAGAAAAAAATGTGGGGGAAACTCTACGAGATTGCAGCAGGCAAAAAGTTCAAGTTAAAGCCTGATCCATAAGAGAAAAAAAACTGATAAATGTGGACCTCATCAAAAATAAAAAACTTTGCTCTGAAGAAGGCCCCGTTGAAAGATGAAAAGACAAGCTTTGCAAATGACAAGTTTGACAAGGGCTGGTAACCAGAATCTAGGAAGGACTCTCAAAACTCAGCAGTAAAACAGACAAACAATCCAATTAGGAAATGGGCAAAAGACATGAAGGGACATTTGGCTGAAGAAAGTCGATGGAGGGCAAATAAGCACAAGGAAGAGATCATTAGCCGCTAGGGAAACGTGAATTAAAACCACAGGGAGACATGTCTGCTCATCTATCCAAACGGTTAAACTGAAGAAAGGGCCACGACCGCACACGCTGGCGGGGATGTGGAGCAGCTGGCTCACTCCGACGTTTGGTGGGATGTACAACGGTGCAGCCACTATGAAGAGCTCTGACCGTTTCTCGAAGGAAAAAACCCTAAACATTTAACTACCACGCGAACCATCAGTTGCACTTGGACACTCATCCCAGAGAAACGCAAACTCAGGGTCACACCGGGAAGCAGCGCACAGACACCGACGGCGGCTTTACGTACAAATGCTCCAAAATGGAAACAAGCCGAGTCTTCCGGGGGCTGAGCGGCGGAGAGCACGGAGGCGCACCCGTGCGGTGGGACATTGTACAGCCACTCACACACCTCCACACACACCGACCAGGGCGAGTCTCCGGAGGATTGCACGGAGTGAAAAAAGATCGATCACACTCACAGCCTGTATCATTCTATTCCGTAGAACACTCTACAAAGATTGCAGTAATGGAGAAGAACAGATTAGCGGTTGCCAGGGATTTAGGAGGACGTGGCGCGGGGGTGGTGGTGGGGGGAACGGTAGGTGTGGCCACTATAAAGAAGGCAACAAGACCTTCGTGGTGAGGAAAATACCGTGTTTTGTTCCGAAGTCCTCCTCCCCCTCACCTCTGGCAACCACAGATCTGATCTCTTTTTCTGAGTTTTCTGTTTTTGTTTGATTCCGTCTAGAAGGGGGAATTATACAGCATTTGTCTTTCCGTATGACTTAGCACAAAACCCTCCAGTCCACGTTGCTGTCAATGGCAGGTTTTCATTCTTTATGGTTGAAGAATATTCTGTTATATGTACGAGTATAGCAGTGTGTGTATATATGCATATATATGAATAATGTTATACATGTATTTAATGCATGTACGATGTGTATGTGCGTGTACTGGATATGTGTGTGCACAGACTCCATGTCTTGGCGGTCGTAAACAGTGCTGCTGAGAACATGAGGTGCGGGCCTCTCTCTGACAACGGTTTTCTTTCCTTTCAACAAATTCTCAGAAATGGGATCCCTGGGTCACAAAGTCATTCTGTTTTTAATTTTTGAGGAACCTCCATACTGGTTTCCACAGCGGCTGCACCAGTTGACGGTCCCACCAACGGTGGTGGGCTTCCCTTCCCCCCACACCCTCCCAGCATTTACTTCTTGTCTTCTTGTCACAGGGGCCAGGTGACAGATATCTTATTGTGGTTTTGATTTGCGTGGCCCTAATGATTAAGAATGCTCAGCATCTTTTCATATGCCTGGAAAAAACTCTCTCCAGGTCTTCTGTCCACTTTTTAGTTAGATTCTTCTGAAAAGTTTTTTTGCTATTGAGCTGTATGAGTTCTTTATGCATTTTGGATTAGAAACCCCTTCATAGACGTGTGGCCTGCAAATATTTCCCCCATTCTTTAGGTTGTCTTTTCATTTTGTTGATTGTTTCCTTTTGCTATGAGGAATGTTGTATGCCAACTCTTGGTGGATTTTGATATAAAAACTATAGCTTCGCAAAATGTCACCACTGAGAGAAACTGTGTAGATAACATAGGAGAACTCTACATTATTTCTTACAGCACATGTGACCCCATAGTTATCTCGGAGGAAACGTTTAATAAAAAGTAAAAGAGTGGGGGCGGTAGGAAAGGACTGGGACTAAAGGACATTTAGGGCACAGAGAAGGAGTGAGAGCAAGAGACACAAACGAAGTAAAAGGGGAGGGTGCAAACTGAGAAGAAAAAGAAGGGGGAAAAAGAAGTAAAATGGGACTGAGTGTGAGCCCTTAAGAAACTGGGAAATCCAACGCAGGGGGGTAAGTCCGCCAGGGCCTGCTCAGGGCCGCGGAAGCCGGCCCCTCCCGGCCCCTCCTTCGGGCGCCCTACTCTCTTCTGCCATCCTCACCATCCCTCCTGTTTTCCAACCCCCGGGAAGCCTTCTCTGGTTCTCCGCGGCCCTCCTTCCGCCCTCCTTGCACCTCTCTCCTAGCACTGACCCCGATGCCGTAACTGTTCACGGGCACCCCTGCCTGCCCCGTTGGTGTGGGAGGGCCATCTGACACAGGGTAGGAGGGTAGGCGGAGGGCCCATACCCATTGCTGAAGGAATATCTGAGTGACTTTAAGTTCATCCAACACAAAGGGCGCTTTCCGAAGTGACTGAGGCAACCTGACTCGGGACTGGGTGGGCGGGAACGACCCCGATGCCCAGGGGGTCATTCTGCCTTGGCCCTGGTTAGCCAGTGGTCATCGTCTTGGTTTGTAAGTGTCCCTGGAAGCCAGGCACCTGCGGGACCTCTTGTCCCTGCTGGATGGCGAGCTTCCTGGAGCAGAGGCAGCGCTGTTCCTGCCGCTGTTCTGACCCTCCTCCTGGGCAGCCTTTAAGCACTGGGGCTGGATAGCACGATCTTGGGAGGGGAGCAGGCTCCAAGGACGAAGCACAGGACACAGGCTTGTCCCCAGATGCCACTTCTCCACTCTAGCTCTTCCCCTCCCTCTCCTTCATGAACAGCGAGGAATAATGTTAGATGATGGCATCAGAGCCTTACCTGCCTTTTTATCCGCACCCCAGGACATGCCCATTGACTTTAGAGACGGGGGAAGGGAGGGGGAAAGAAACATCGATGTGAGAGACACACTGATCGGTTGCTCGTCGGGGTGCTTCTCGTCTGCACCCTGACTAAGCGTGTACCCTGATGGGAATCAAACCCGCCACCCTTCAGCTTATGAGATGATGCTCCAACCAACTGAGCCACATGGACCAGCGCAGAGAAGCCACAGGGGCGGCAGCACACCCCACCCCCAACCACCGAGTCACAGGAGATGAGAGTGGGAGACTGAAGGCTTGTCACGAGTGCCCCTGTCCTCCCCCTCCATGTCCCTTTTCAGCCCCAGCCCAGCCTCCGGCCACCACATAGGTTGACCCTTGGTGACTAGGAAGTGCTGTTGCCACCTGCCAGACTGGTCGGATTCTTCCTGACCTTTGCCCCCACAGCCCACTCTGGATTCGAATGACAGTGGAACTTAACATTTGCGCACCAGCCAAGATCTCCAGGGTCATGTGTTAAAGATTTGGCCCTGACATTTAACTTAACACGGCTGTTGGCAAGGGCCGCTGCCAGCCTGCGCGCGGGAGCCCAGAATAGCTCACTTATCAGAATGTCGGGGAGGAGGGGCTGGGTACGTTGTGCTGCGCTGTCGGGCCACTGGACCGTCCCCCCGGCAGCCTGGGTCTCGGGAAGAGGGAGCTGCCCTCTCTGGGTCAGAACAGTTCCGGAGGAAGCGTTCCACGAGTATCTTAGAATGACACATTTAGGTGTTTTCTTTTTCTTCCCAATGTCTCCCTATAATGCTTTGCATCTGAACTCACTTTCTTCTTATCTTGTCTTTAGGAAAAACAGAGAAAGTCCTCCACGGGTGACCACTGTCTCAGCAGACACCTGACCGTAGGCCCTCCCTTAGCGACACTGGCAGCCCTCGATGGCCTGCCGGTGGCTCCGACACAGCGAAAAGGGCTCCTTCCTGCTCCCGAATCGACTCCCGGACTCTGCCTCCCTCTCCAGGGCCCTCCTCCCCCACCCTAACTATGTATGGCTCAGAAAATGCAAGCTTTTGAGAACATTCTCCTTAGTGGAAGGCATAATCCTGCTCCAATGACCACATTCCAAGGTTTTCAAAAATTAATTATTCCTGGCACATTATAGGTGATCAAATAAAGGCATTGCTGAGCTGATTTAAAAACAATAACTAGAAGTAGACGTGGTTTTTGAGTACGTGAATGCTCAGTATGTCCTTTGTGACTTTGCCCACAGAAGCATGGAGAACCAGGTCATTTTGGGAGTAAATGGTAAATGCAGAATGGGCGCTCCAGTTCGCTCTAGTTCTCCTGTGTGCCGTAGGGTTAACTGCATCACAGGGGACCGGAGCCCCTTCAGGACGAGAATCCTGGCAGGCGCTTGCAGAAAGCCCACAGGGACGGCGCTGCACAGTCTGCCGGGGGCAGCGCGGCTGAGAGGATGTCCGTGGCAGAGTCATGCTGACGTTTCTGCCAGACCCGGAGAGGAAAGGGTCCTGTACCTCACAGGATATGCTCCCAGCCACAGGGACACGCATGATGGGGATCCCACCGGGACCCAACTTCATCCCTGAGAGAGGAGGCAGTGAGCTTCCTGCAGCCCCTTCAAGGCTCACACCCCCCCTGCACCCTCCCCCCGGCTGCTGCCCGATGGCTCTCACTCATTCTCTGTTTAATGCAGGTGGGCTGCTTAATGAAGAGACTCCACCTGTGAGGAGTGCCAGCAGGGAACAGTGGCTTTTGGAGGGGACAGGAGCACCTGTGTCGGGGTGATTCCTTTACTGTTGCTGAGCTGGGGAGTGAACCTAGTAGGGCTGTGGGGAGGATGGCCAGCACTGCGCTTTCACGGAATGTGCAGGAAAGTTCTCTGTGTGATCATTTCTTTTCCAGAGGGGGCCCTGTCGCTGTTCTAGTAATTTATGCCACTATTATAATTATTATCAATCTCATAATTAACAGAGTCTGACAAGTAATAAACACTTGATAAATGCCCCCCACAACCCCCTCATACCTTGCCAGGTAAAAGAGGCCTTGTTTTTCTAGCCTTAGGTTGTGAGTCTGTACCTTGTGGACTTGGCGGCCGAATGTCTGGGTACAGGATGCTCTGGGGCGTTGGGATAAAGTGAGGTGGAGGGAGGAGGAGCGGAAAAAGCAGTGGGTGGGAGAGGAAAGAATAATCCCATCACATACAGAAAACACTTCAGCTCACATAGTAGGCATTCAGTGAGTGACAATTCCTTGATATTATTGCCAAGAAGCGGACCACCTGCACCCTGGTACCCCCACGGAAAGGGGGCTTGAAACCTCTGCACAGAGTGACGCCATCCCCAATCGGATCCACGAGAGCCACAGTCTGAGATCCCAGTGGACCTGGCCAAGCTTTCGGTGTCATAGCCCAGCCGGGCGCCTCTCCTCTCTGGCCGCAACATCGCTGCCCCTACTGGGGTCGCCCCCCAGGCGTTGGGAAGCCCTGGCCTCTCTCAGGCAGCTGGCAGGGTTCGCAGCCGGGTCCCAGGCACAGACACGGATTTGGGAAGGCCAGAACCCCTTCCAAGGTTAGTGTTGGGTGGTGGGAAAACTCTGGATTTGAAGCCAGAGGACGAGGGTTTAGACATTAATAGCGCTGCCACTTACTAGTGCCTGGAACACTCTCAGCCTCGGTGTCAGCGATAAAGCCGGTGCATTAACTGGCCTCTGCCTTGGGGCTGGCGTCCAGACTAAGTCTGAGTGTCCAGCTCGGTACTTGGCGCCATAAGTATTAGCTTCTCTTGCTGCCTCGTTCCCACATGCAAAGTGCTTTGTGAACCAGAAGGCCCTAGGATGCGCAGCTTAGTGAGAAAAAAACAGTTTGTCTGGAATCAGACCCAGGTGGGGATCTCACGTGTAGGTCATGTGCATTCGAAAGTTACTCAGCCTCGTGACACTGCGATTTCTCGCCTGTAGACTCGGGGTGATAATATCTGTCCCATTAAAAGGAGCAAAAGAGAGCAAAGTACTTGGCACAGCCTGACACAAATCAAACCCTTGTGTACCTCGTGTACCCACCCATCTTCTGGTGTTGCAAAACTGATCTCACCTGACCCCTGACCTGAAGTTTGGGGTAGGCCCTGGACCGCTGAGGGTCAGATGCAGTCTGGAAACCTGGGCTACATGCAGACTACTCTCCAGGGAGATCCCTGGGTCCGGGGAAATGGGGACCACGGCCATGCCCTTCCCTATTCCCTCTCCCCGCACTTGGCCTGGACTCCTGGCCTTTCTGAACCATTTGACACATGTTTACAAAGAGATAGGGAGGTGTGCGGGAGGTGACCGGGCAGCAAGCGCGGGCAGAACAAGGCCATGCAATGCCTTTGGCCAGGCTTGAAAGAAAGTGAGATGAAGCTGGGGGTCTAAGGCTGATGGAGCTCCCCCCCACCCCCACTCTGCTCCCCCACCCCGCCCCCCTATCCCACAACCCTGCCCTCTCCACCCCCACCTGAAGGCACAGCCAATTCCTAGGAAAATATGCCCCTCTCACACTGCCCTGGCCTCTCACACCACCGAGGGGGGCGTAGGGGTGGGCAGGTACCCCCACTCTGGCACCAAAACAGCCTTACAGTCCGATGAACGAGGAACTCCCCAGCCCAAGGCTGCCCAGCCGCGGGCTATGGAGAGCTCACGTTTCCCGGCTGAACTTTGGACCCACCCTAAACCCTTCCCTGCTCCCCCCCACCTCCCGTTCTCAAGCAGGCTGGTGACTGATTAAAGCCAGTTGCTAGGGACACCGGGCGCCCTGACAGTGCCGTCCTGCCTTCCAGTCTGCTGAGCTGGGGGAGGAATGGAGGAGGAAAAGAAGACAACTTACTTGTTGCGATGGTAGCTTCCAAGTGCCACTGACGCTAACTTCTGGGGTGTCCCTCAGAGGCGGGGCCAGGGGAGGGGTGGGTGGCGCTCAGGGCCTTTGAGGGGACGCTGCAGCCCCAGCCATGACCGTGGCCTCAGACCCTGCCTAGAGCCTCTCCCTGTGCAGGTCCTGTTGGCAGAGGCTTCTAAGCCATCCTGTCCCTTCGTCGCCAGCCCCTCAGTCACTCCCTCCTCCAGCGAGAGGAACCAGAGGCTCTCTCTCTCTCTCTCTCTCTCTCTCTCTCTCTCTCTCTCTCCCCCTTCCTCCCCTCCGCCCTCTTCTCTCCCGGGTTCTCCTCCCCTTCTGCCCCCAGTACAGACGGGTCTCCGAGCAATAAGGTGTAATAACCGATTTAAAGGGCCCCAGGCAAAGGCAGCGGGGGTGGGGTGGAGAGTGGGGGGGTTCCCACGTGACCAGGGGATACCAACAGTTCTGAATGACTGGGAGCCTGGGAGGTGCAGAGATAACCCGAGGGGACCGCGGCCGGGCGGATCCTCGTCCCCTCCCCCAGGCTCCGGCCACCACTCCCCCAGGCCCCCACCCACTCCTCTCCGCGGCTGTACTGGGTGTGCCTCCGGCCGCTCCTGCGGAGGCAAAGGACGGAGGACTCTGCGCACGCGGGGGCAGGTGTGAGCGTGTGTGCATGTGCGTGTGCGCCCGCAAGTGCAGGTGTCAACGTGTGTGTGCACCTGAGTGTGAGAGCCCGTGCTTAGGGGTGCGGTGGGGCCGACGGAAAGAGGGAAGGAGCTGGGAGGGCAGAAATCTGAGGTGGAGTCTGGGAGGGGTAGCTCAGGCACTCCGCGGTGCGCAGCGAGGGAGGCTGGCAAAATCTAGTTGCGCTTCTCCTGCTGGAGCAGAGCAGGTGGGAGACCTGCCTTGGGGAAGTCGGGGGAGCCAGGGTCCGGACGCTGCGTCCTCACCCCCTCACTCCTGTGGGTGGAGTGAGGGTCTGGGGCGCCCCGACCCGCTGGCTGGAGGTGGAGCCGGGCCAGAGACAGCAAGCAGGTCTGCCGCTGCTCCCCGGGGCTCCAGCGCTCTGCCCCGTCCTGGCCGCCCCCTCCAGAGACTTGCGGCCCGTGGCGGGGTGGGAATAGCGGCAAATGCTCCCTCCACTCCCCTCTCTGCGCAGCCCAGAGGCACAGCCGGAGGTGAGTGCACGCCGGGCTGGGGAGAACCGCTCCCCGCCCTTTTGGATTCCTGCCTGCTTGGAGGAAGGATGACGGCGTGCATTTAATCTTTAGTTCCAGTGACTTGTAGGAAAAGGCAGCTGCAGACGTCACAGCTGCTGAGAAGGGAGGGCTGCGTCTGTGTGTGTGGGGCGGGCGGCGGCCAGCCCACAGGCTTCTCTGAGGACTGACTGGTCCTTTGCGGCTGGCGCTTCCTGGCCGGTGGGGCTCCCTAGGGCCCCCTTGTCTGTTGCCTAACCTTTTGGGTTCGACATCCCTGCCCTAGGCCCTGAGAGTGTCTCCCCTGGGGCCGGAGGGAGGCAGACCAGTGTCCGCCAAGCAGGGACTATGGCTGTCGTGTTCTCTGCTGTGTTCCCAGCACAGGTGCTCAATGAATATTTATCAGGTGCACACTGTCAACAACAGGAAGCAAGCTTAATTCAGTGACAAGGGAATAAATGCGGGCCTGGGGCGGGGCCTGTGGTGGGCCCGGCCCATCCTCTAGGGTGAGCACAGCACCAGGACAGCCACCGGGGAGCTGACTCTCGTCACAGCCCCCTGGGGGCTCCTCTGGCCGCACAGAGCAGTGTGGACAGAAGAGGGGCCACATGCGAACCCTGACAGGCTCAGGGGAGGCGGCCTGGCGGGCGTGCCACTCAGAGACGGGAAGTAGCCACGGAGGATGCCCTGAACATCCAGATTCCTGATAGCAGATCGTGGCAGGCCGTCCAGTCCTGGGCCTGGAGCTTCCTGGACAAAGGTTGATCTTGACCTTAACCGAGCCTGTGGAATGCCTTTGTGCAGAGTTGCCTTGTCCCCCCATGTCATCTCTGTGTGCTGTCAATGTTCTTTCTGAGCTCTCCTGTGCCCACCAGTGTAAAGAACTGTGGGTCTCTGTTTTGCGTATCTATCCAATCTCAGACAATTTCCCTGTTTTGCTTCCTTCTGCCCCTTAATCTGCCATCTGTCAGGTTCCACCTGACCCTCCTACATGTGTCTTCCTCTTCTGGCTCCGACATATGAAACAAGCAGTCCGACTCCCCTTCTCTGGAGGGCTGTTTGCAATCCATCGAGATTTGCTTTCACGACAATTGTCAGTTCGGCCCAAATAAACTCAGATTCCCTGTGGGTATAGACACTTCTGTGGACACAAGCGTGCACACAGCCCGTGGCCCAGGCACCCTCCCCAGGGACACGGGCAGCCAGGCTCTGACAGGGGCGGCCTTGTACGCCCCCGTCCCCTCCCTCTGTGGAGGGTTCGACTTTTCAGTGTGGCTGCAATGGGCCCTGACTGACCAGGAGGTCTGTTCGTCCCTCGGAGATGCAGCCTGTCTTCTTGCTCATCCATTACATGATGATCTCACACTTTAACACTCTGAGAAGAAGGGTCTTAATTTCTTAATTTCCATGTTCTTGGGACAGGCTGCGGCTGTGCAGCTCCGTGGTCTGCGAGACACGCACTGTCCACATTCCTGGGGTGACAGTGACTTGGGATTTAGCATAAAGACCACAGTTTCCTTTGCCCTGACCAGGGTGCTGACTTGGAAGCAAGATAGAGGGCGATCTGGTAAATGTCATTCTGTAAATGTCACTGTGATGGGACCTCGGACCAGGAGTTCCTGCCCAGACCGGAAAAACAGGAAACAAGGGGCTTCTAGTCTGGCTGTTTTTTTGCAAATTTAGATGAGCTTACGTTTTTGTTTTTTTAATCCTCAAGTTTCAAAAAGAGCACAGGAGACATTTGAGGGGCTGGGACACCGTGGAGCTCCTCGGGGCTTGGAAGGTGCTGCTACGCATGCTTCGCTGTCTGAAAATGGACGAGGTCGTGCCGGGGAAGACTCTGTGTTCTCACATTCCCTGCCCACAGAACCCGGCCTCTGCCCACCGTCCGCTGCCTCTCTCACCTCCCTGCCTCCGGCAAGCGGTGAACTCACCATTAAGTTTTCTCGGTAGAATATGACACACAGGAAATTATTGTTCTCCTGTTTGTAGAAATTCCATTTGCATTTACGAGGCTAGTAATATCTCATAAATATTTTCAGCCAGATAAAATATTAGTTAAGAGAGTTCGTTGAGTTATACTCTGAAGTCCTCACCAAAACGCTTCCAAGACAATTATTTAAAGTAATTTTCTCTCTCATCAGAAGAGTTCCTCACGCATTACTTGTGCACATTAATCAGTCCATGTACAAATAGCAGATATGAGTCAATTAATTTGCAACATTGAAGGACACAAAGAGGTGTGAAAACTGTACAACAAATAATTGCGAAGCTGTCACGCAGCTTCAAAAACACCACACAATGTTGCCAGTACCACCCAGTCTGCCCTGGGTGAGCGACGCCCCGCCCCTCCAGAGAAACATGGCTTTAGTGTTCCTCTTCCTCATTTCTTTATGCTAAAACCTCCCGCACACATTTGTCTAATCAGTGAGTATCGACCATCTATAAACACTGCTACGTCTAGGAACCCTTCTGATGGAGTCATTAAGGCTGGCTCTATCTGAGGCACTTTGGCAGGTGCCGTGAGAAAAACTAAGCGTTGCAACGTGGGCTTTGATCTAAAATGCCTGCAACATCTTTGGGAGGGTCAGCCTATGAGCACACATGTTAGCAGGCAAATTTACAACTTGGGATTTTAATTCCCAGGTGGTAATTGGATGGTTCGTTGGTGTAAACTCGGTAATAATGCCAACGCTGACGCCTGACTATGACGGAAGGGGCATCTAGGGAGCGAGAAGGAGGACTAGGACCGAATAGGAGGGGGCTGGTGTATGAAGCGAGGCCTGGAGGGCCAGGCCCAGCGGGATCCGGAGTCTGCAGTAAAGGGCCGGTGCTGGGAGCGAGGGCAGCTAAAGTGTGAGGAAGTGATGACAGCTGGCTCTGATGAGCTGAGTGCCTACTGTGTGCTGGCTCTGCCAAGTGCTTCACGTAAGTAAAAGCTTGTACTTTCCCCAACGCCCTGGTGAGGGTGGTAGTATCATCCCCATTTTTCAGATGTGGAAACTGAGGCTCACCTAAGCTACGAGTCCTCTCATTGGTGCAGCGCTTAGTAGTGAATTTCAGAGCCCAGGTTGGTTTGACGCCAAAATTATATTTCTAAATGTTGTGTGCTGGATTGTGTCCCCACCCCCACCGCAGCCCACCCTCAGATTCAGGTGTTGCAGCCTTAACCCTGGTGCCTCAGAATGTGACTGTGTTCAGAGGGCCCTTAAAGAGGTGATTAAATTACAAGACCGTATGACAGCCCCTGACCCAATCTGACTGGTAATTTTTGCTTAAGAAAAAGACATTTGGACACAGAGAGACGCTGGGGATGCGTGCGCACAGGAGAAGGGCCGTGTGAGGATGCAGCTAGAAGGACGCCAAGGAGAGTGGCCTCTGGAAAAACTAAACCTGCCGACACCTCGACCTTGGACTTCCAGCCCCCACAAGCCCACTGGGCTGTGGTGTTACAGGAGGGCGGCCCAGCAAACCAATATGCTGACCGTGGTGGGCCCCCCTGTGCCTCTCGGAAGCACCTCGCATCACCGGCCATCGAGTGTGGCCTCTACTGTGCAGGTGGGAAGTACCCCCTGAAGATTTCTGAAGTGGGGAGAATTTTCAGAGTCATTTTGGTGAGGGTTTCCCTGGTGGTGGTTTGTATATTATTCATTCATTTATTGGTGCCAATGAGTAATGACGGAGCACCTACTTTGAGCCCTCTGCAATTGCAGGGACCACGTTTGTGGTGTTTGTGACTCAACACCACTCGCTGCCCCTGCCGAGCGGCGTTTTGGTACATAGTGGTAGGTCGTCCGTAAATTGTCACATGAAAGGAAAGTTGTGGGCTAGGCCCTGGGGATGGAAACGATGGCAAGACCAACACAGAGGTGGCCTTCAAGAAGGGCACTGTCCAGAGAGGACGGTGGCCAGTGCCTCGCTGGCCCACAAAGCAGTCAGTGCAAGTGAGGCAGAGATGAAGCAACGTCATCTCACGGAATTTTTGCAGTGAAAGAAGTGTTTTCTATCTGTTTTGTATCACATGGCCTGTGTGGCTGTTGAACATGTAAAATGCGAC